AGAAATAACAAATAACATGTACCGTCGCTAATCGGATCATGCTATTTGCTATTTCGCTATATATCAATTTTTTAACGGTATTTATTGTGTCGCGACGGTGATTAAATAAACGACACGATTCTCTTTTTCTCTCTTTTATTGGAATAAAGAATAGGGGTTACAATGATATATATTAATTTGAAGATTATACAAAAACATAAGAGTATAAATTTTATTAATTATATTTTTTTAAAAAATAAAGATTATGTTTTGAATTATTAAAAACCCCGTGAATAATTGCTTCTTCACTTATAATTTCTTTTGTCCTTTTGCAGGAATATCGTTTTTCATTACAATTAAAACTATATTCATTATATGTTTTTTTAATGATATTGCATTCATCTTGCGGACTTAAATATATGGCTGGCACATTTTGAAAAACATTAAAAATATTTTCATATTTGTATTCTTCTTCAGATTCATCTACAAATTAAAATTTTTAAAAAAATATAAGAATCTTCTACAAATTAAAATTTTAAAAAATATTTTGTTTTATAAAATATAAAAAAGATAATTACCTTTTTCTTCTAAAACAAACGCTTCTCCAAATTCATTGTTAAATACTAACTCGTCTAAAGAAAAAACCTCCATAAAATGCCATTCTTCGCATAATGTATGATAGCCAACATACATTCTACTATCTTTTTTTAAACTATATTCTATTACAGTTTTAACTTCTAACATTCCCGAAACCATTTTTTTTTTCTTGGAAACAAATATGTTTTTGAGAAATCAAAAAATATATATAATTATAAAGTTATTATTTTTCTGTATTATATAAGCTGATTTTCTAATCAATGATTTTTTTAATTTCCCTTAAAATTACTTTTTCCAGCTAAATATTTTTTTTTTTTTTTTATTTCCTTCAAGATTTCCCACGCAGATATTAAGATGTTTATTTTTTTCTTTGATGCATTTAATGTGTCTTATTTTCTTGTCTCTGATCTTCAAGGATTTTGTTTAAAATTCACATTCGTTTTCACTATAATTATTAACGCATGAGAAAATTTACATCCATTATTAAATATTAACAATGACAAAGGGTAACAAACCTTATCATCATATGATATAAAGCGAGAGAAATAGACAAATAGATTCACTAGTTTATCAACTCTCTCTACAACTAAAGCAAGAATTTATCAACTCTCTCTACAACTAAAGCAAGAAAAGATGTCTATGGATGGTAAGTTAGATTTTTTTTTTATTTAGATTTGATTTTTAAATAAGAAAATTAAATTATTATTTTTTATAGTTATTCATCTTTTTTTAAATAGATTCTCAGTGATTGTTTGTAATCGACAATCCCTTTACAACTAAAAAGCGAAAATTGGCAACAAAAGTCGATGATGCGCCAGTGGAGAAAAAAAAAAGTATGATTTAGTTATATCGAAAGACGAATCTTCGTTTAAAACTATACTGCCGTATTCAATATATATATCGCACGGCTATAACTTGGAAATTAAAGAATTCAGACAGCAATATTATATATGCTTAGCGAAAACAAGTGCTAAAGGTGAGATTCAGAATAGATTCAACATTCCGGTGAAAGAAATTAATTTTTTTATTCAAGCTTTGAATGCTGTTAAAAAATATCTGGAAGATTTCATTTGAATAAATGAAAGTCTACGCGTAAGTAAATTCTTACAATTTTTTAATATATTTTTAAAAAAATTATGTAATTTAATTGATTTTTTTTAAAATAGAATTATTGAAAACATCCCTCTCTCTCAAAATATGAAGAAATCATCGTAGACTATTTTATCATCTCACTTATATGAAGAAAATCATCTAGAATCATGAACCCGTCGTAGTCCAGTTCAGGTAAAATTTAAAAAGAAAATGTTTTCGCTAGTAGAATCAGCCTTCCAAATTTTTTTACAATGCTATCGTAAAACCGAACTCGAGTATGTCGATCCAACCATTTTTTTTAGAGATATAAAATCTGAACTATTTTAATGTAATTACGAACTTCGGGAATGATTATAGAGTACGATTTGTGATTAGCTTAAAAGTAATAATGTACAAATGCATAGAAATGGGGGATAAATACGAGTTTAAGGATTTTTTCTTTACGAGTTACGCTGAACGAATTCTAAGTCCTTTTCTAGCTTGGAAAAGTATTGAGAATGCAATAAACAAAATTCTAGAGGATATATCTGTTGCGGTAGTATTAGGCAGTGGGCGGATAATTTACAAATTAGATTATATTGATATTCATAGATCAACATATAATGCATATAATGGAGGGTGTGGTTCCATAATTTTACCTAAACATTTAGTAAATAAAAAGTGTATTTTAAATATTCGATGTAATGACAATAAATGTTTTGTGTATTGCATTCTCGCGAGTATTTTTCCATTGACAAATAATAAAAATAATATATCTAGCTATAGAAAATATTTAAAATTTATTAATTGTTCGAANTTATTAGCTTACGTACATTAGACTTGGATTTTACACAAATTGCAAAATTATACCCCGACTTACGCAGTTATTGCTTGGTCCCACCTATCGCATAAGTTCGGGGTATTACTGTATTTTCTTTTTCAGTTAAGATAGAAAGATGAATACTATGTTATTGGACTTTGCAACTCTTGGTTTTTTAATTATTTTAGGAAAATTAAATGAATGATATACCATCTCATCTTAAAAATATTTATAATTTTATAAAATTTAAAAATATATTCTAAAATATTTTTGTTATTTTATATTGATGCATAAAGTGACCATACTTTTTTAAAATACAAAATTATCTAAATGTAAATCAGATTGCACAAGTCATTGAAAAATGTATCACATAAACCACTTTAAAATTGTTGCTGTTGAAATTACAGATATTCAATGCAAGAAAATTAAAATGACAACTATATGTACTAATAATTTATCACATGCAGCAAGAAAATCTGCTTAATGTAATCACTTTGGGGTTTGTCTAAGCTTATGATGATAACATTACTGTAAACAGAGATTACCCTAGCTTTTTTATAGCAATATCCAATATATTCACCAAACAAATTTATTATTCACCAGGTTACTTTTTTGCTTACTGTGACTTTATGTACTAACCAGAAATGAAAGGATGACTGACAATATAAAACAAAAATGTAGTTTTTATGACTGGTTTTCTCAAGCAACTTTATTTTTGTTTATTATAACAATAAAATTTATCAGGCCAAGATGATTCAAATTCTGTAAAAGTCTTTTTACTTTTTTGTGGTTATTCACCACCCCAATTGCCAGATGAATGAACTTTTTGCAAATTTTTTGACAAGCAATGTGACCCTTGAGGAAGTGGGATAAATAAATACAATTGCAGTTAATGGAAATTCTGATTTTATTGACTGTGACATTAAAAGAACATGTTAAAACAAGTAAAAGATATATAATTTGAAGTTTTATTAATTATAATTATTATTAATGTGAGACTAATCGGGGGTAGGATGTTTACGAGTTCTTGACTTTCCTACCACTTAGTCGACTCGAGACCTTGAGGTCCAGTCCTCGACGAGATCGCTCGTGATAATTCCATCAAATTGACCGCATATCTATCCGCGAAAAATTGATAGATTGGTGTCAGATCCTGACGGGTGAAAGAATCTAACGATCCTTCCCCCTAACCCTTTTTTCTTCCATCCTTTAGACAAGCAAGACTGGACCTCAAGGTCTCGAGTCGACTAAGTGGTAGGAAAGTCAAGAACTCATAAACATCCTACCCCCGATTAGTCTCACATTAATAATAATTATAATTAATAAAACTTCAAATTATATATCTTTTACTTGTTTTAACATGTTCTTTTAATGTCACAGTCAATAAAATCAGAATTTCCATTAACTGCAATTGTATTTATTTATCCCACTTCCTCAAGGGTCACATTGCTTGTCAAAAAATTTGCAAAAAGTTCATTCATCTGGCAATTGGGGTGGTGAATAACCACAAAAAAGTAAAAAGACTTTTACAGAATTTGAATCATCTTGGCCTGATAAATTTTATTGTTATAATAAACAAAAANGGAAATTTGTGACCGCACTGGAATTAAGCATATTCTGACGACACCATATCATCCTCAGTCAAATTTTATGGAAAGAGTAAACCGCACCGTAGGTAGGATAATTGCGGCATACATTGAACGGAACCACAAAGAATGGGACACCCATATATCAGAGTTAGTGCTGGCACTACGAACTACAGAACAGGGTTCTACAAAGTATACGCCAGCTCAACTACATCTCGGGAGAGAGATTGCACTCCCATGGGACCGCCTAACGTCTTATCCAAGTTGCCCTATGACCATTAGAGAAAATGGGCAATCATTGATTAGAAAATCAGCTTATATAATACAGAAAAATAATAACTTTATAATTATATATATTTTTTGATTTCTCAAAAACATATTTGTTTCCAAGAAAAAAAAAATGGTTTCGGGAATGTTAGAAGTTAAAACTGTAATAGAATATAGTTTAAAAAAAGATAATAGAATGTATGTTGGCTATCATACATTATGCGAAGAATGGCATTTTATGGAGGTTTTTTCTTTAGACGAGTTAATATTTAACAATGAATTTGGAGAAGCGTTTGTTTTAGAAGAAAAAGGTAATTATCTTTTTTATATTTTATAAAACAAAATATTTTTTTTAAATTTTAATTCTGTAAAAGATTCTTATATTTTGTTTAGTAAATTTTTTTAAAATTTTAATTTGTAGATGAACCCGATAAAGAGTGGGACTTTGATAATATTTTTAATATTTTTCAACACATTCCGGCAACTTATTTAAGACCTCAGGGTCACAATGATATTAAAAAAATATATATATAATCAATAACTAAAACCGGTTTATTAGGGAAAAAAAGCGATTGCATAATTAAATCGATTACGTCATTTTTAAAGTTCATCGACCTGAAACGACCTGAAACAAAACCAAAACCAAGCGATTGTGTCATAAAAAAAATTATATAAAAGCGAGACAATCAATAAAACTAGTCATTATTCGTATTACTATTGAAAGAAGAAGGAACATTTCATATTATAATGGATGGCAAAAACATAGACATGTTAGTTCGCGAAGTAGACGCAAATTTTGATTGGAAAGATTTTTCTAGGTTAAATTTGAGCAAAGAAGTAATAAGGCGTCTTGAAGATAGGGTCGATTGGGACATTATTTCTGAAAAAAACTAATATTTGTAATGAATTTATTAACGATTTTCAACATAAATTAAATTGGAATAAAATTTGGAAAAGCAAACGTTTCTCCAATGATTTTATACAAAGATATATTCAACGAGTTAATTGGGACGATGTTTGGGACGATGGGAACAGCTATCAGAAAACTTTTTGACTCAATATCACGATCATCTAAACTGGGATCTCGTGTGTCAATATCAAAGACTGAGTCAAAATTTCATATTAACTTTTAAACATTTTCTCAATATGAAGCTTATTTGTAAATACTGTATGAACAATTGCACGAAGAAATTATTAGAGAACTTGAAAACGATGTAGATTGGGACCTTATTTCAAAACATCAAGAATTATCCAAAAAATTTATGGAAGATTACAAGCATAAACTTAATTGGTGTATCGCCATTGCTAATCAGAAGCATTTATCAAACAAATTTGTATCAAATAATTATCATTTTACCCTGGTTTATGTTTTATTGAAAATATGTGAAAAGCTATAATCTTTTTTCTAAATTAGTTTTAAGATAATCTTTATTTTTCCTCAATACGAAGCTTATTTGTCAATATCAACGATTGCACGAAGAAATTATTAGAGAACTTGAAAACGTTGTAGATTGGGACCTTGTTTCGAAGCACCAAGAATTATCCGAAAAATTTTTAAAAGATTACAAGCATAAACTTAATTGGTGTATTGTCATTGCTAATCAGAAACATTTATCAAACAAATTTGCATCAAATAATTATCATTTTACCCTGGTTTATGTTTTATCAAAAATATGTGAAAAGCTATAATTTTTTTTAAAAGTAGTTTTAACCTAATCTTTATTTTTTAAAAATATAATTAATAAAATTTATACGCATTTTTGTATAATCTTCAAATGACTAAACTGTNTAGTTCACTTATATAAAATAATAGTTCTCTTATATAAAGAAAAAAATTTAAAATATATAGAACCGGTTAAAAAAAATGTTTGTAATTATTATTAAAATTAAGGAATCTAAAAATTGTTTTTTGAAGCATTGCATCTGTACTGCAATATCCTTAGTATTGCCAAATATATATATATATATATATATATATATAATAATTTCATTCACAATATCCCTAGTCTCGCCAATGTTCTCTTATAACCAGGGCTGTGGAGTCGGAGTTGTGGAGTTTTAGTGTTTTAGCCAGAGTCGGAGTCGGATTGGTAAGGAAAAGTCGGAGTCGGTAGATTTTTACGCGACTCCACAGCCCTGCTTATAACTGAGCGATTTATCCCAGAAACTCTCGTTCAAATCGCACGGAAAAGTATAACCGAAGGGCATCGAAAATGGGTGTGGTTTCGACTCCTATGAGAGTTTCTGGGATGGTAATTATCTCGGAATTGGTCGAGAAATTCTGCAATTATGCACGATTTTAGCCCCTGCTTGACGTCTTTCCCTCAAAATGATGAGAGTTTCTGGGATAAAAGTTATAAACCTCTTAAAGTTTAACAAATTATTCCGGAGTCTCTCATACATATACTACTAGTGTGAATATAGTACAAGGATATGAAACAAAATTTAGATTTAAAATTTACATTAAATTAGTGTAAGAATTTTTGTTTTACTCTTGATTATCCAAATTATATGACATTGAAATGTACTGACTATCTTGATATTCTCCCTGATTCATATGGAAGTATAAAAGTCATGATGCAAATTTATCTTTGACAAAATGTCACATTTACATGTATCTTTTATGATATGATCTTTATTAAAATCATTTATAATATTGTTGCATATCAGATAATTTGTTTTTATATTCCTACAGCTATTCATTTTGTTATAATAAATGTTTAAATGTTTATTCTAATTTAATGGTATTATTATAAAAACATTTTAATTTTTAGATTTTATTATTACAATAAGTTTAATATTGAGATAAAAAATATTAATTGTATCTCATTAGACGTGAAGTTTATATGTCCGGAGGTGTATTTTTTGTTACATCTCGTATTCTTGTCGTGGATATGCTGATGGATCGAGTGCCAATTGACCTCATTACTGGAATTATTGTGTACAAAGCCCATAAGTATGAAATTTTTATTTTATTTAAATAGTAATACAGTAGAGCATTGATTATCTGAATATTGATTAACCGAAATTCAATTAATTGAAAGCTTTCCAGTCAGCAAATTTAAATTTCCACTGCTGTGGCGCTACAATCTTTAATTATGTCTTGGACTACTCCAATATTATTTTTGTTGGTGTGCGTGTTTTAGCTGGCAGCATGGCATGACCATGAGAGAGTACTTAAGGACATGTCAGGGTTTGAACAAGTTTCAAACATGGGATAGGTTAATATATTTTTTCGTACATAATTGGTTATCCAAAAACTCTATTTTCTGAACAACCCCAGTCCCCATTTGATTTGGATAATCAATGCTCTACTGTATTTCCAATTTATGTCTTTGTTAAGAATGAATGGTGTACTTTTCAATGATACAAATGACATGTTGGTCTAACACAGCATAACAAATTTTTATTTTATATGTTTTTCTAGATTTGCTGTGGTAGAAGTTTGTTAATCCAGAATGTCTGGTAATCCAACACATTTAAAAAAATAGCCAATAATCTAGAATAATAATACAATAATAATACAGCATGCTAGTATTTCATGAATCAGAATTTTTTGGACATGTGATATGTTAAAGACTCCAGACAATAATGTTTTGTGTATTAACACTTTTGCAGGGTTTTCAGTCAGTCTTAAAACAGTATAGTTACGCACTGTATCATCTTTAGACTATTTTGAATTAATAATATGCTTCTTGTCCCACCATTTTTAATCAATTATCTGAGCACTATAAATGGGTCTTACTAGGACTTATCACACAATATTGAGAAATTACTTAAAGACTAATGAACATTAATTATTTATTTATTAGTTACCTATTGCCCAAAATGCATACCATAATTACAAAATAAATAATTAATATTCATCAGTCTCTAAGTGATTTCTCAATAATGTGTGATAAGTTGTAGCAATAGCCATTTATAGTGCTCAGTTAATTAATCTTTAGACTAATTAAAGAACATGCCTAAACAAATCGGAATTATGTAGCAGCATGCCCTAGTACAAAATGTACAGCAATATCTACAGTATTCAGATTGCATATAACTTATTGAATTTTGCAAAAATAAAAAAATGTTCAGTAATATTAAGTGCCAGATTAACAAACCTCTGTATTTTGTCAAATATATTTCTTTACTAAGGCATGTTTTTCATTTTTGATATTTTGTACAGTAATTTAAAACTAGTTAATAAACCTTTTCCTGTATTTTAAATGTTTACAGATTTTTATAATCTATTATCGAAAGTGTAAAATGTTGAAATTATGAAGTTTCATGTTGAAATTATAGTGTTGAACATTGGAAGATATATCTGAATTTCACATTTATAATTTTACTACATCATTTAAAATTCTCAGCAGTCATTGATTCGGTTAATTTAGCAAATAGTTTTTGGCTAAAAATATTTATAATAAACAAAAACTGTTTTAATTGTTGAATATTAAATATAACTTGAAATAAATAATTGCTTAGATTACTTACATTGTTTTATATTTTATAGAGTAATAGAAAATACTTTTTTGTATGTGATTAAAATATTTATTATATTTAGCTTGGTAACAGTTTTTGTTGAATTTTTATACAGAATAATAGATTCATATCAAGAAGCATTTATTCTTCGTTTATATAGAACAAAAAACAAGGTGAGTAAAACTTTAATTTTAAATGTAATTTATATAT